GGCACCGTGGCCGGGGGCCTCTGTGACTTCCACACCCTTCCCAGTGCTCCTGGCCTCACCGGGCGGGGCCAGAGGTCAGCCTGAAAGAATGTCTGTGCAGAGCTGAGGCCTAGGGTGGGCAGCAGCTCCATCCAGCTCGTGGGTGTGAAGTGACAGAGGCCAGAGGAGCAGGAGCTGGAGCTGGAGCTGGAGCTGGAGCAGGCGCGGGAGCAGAGCAGCCCCAGCTAGAGCGTGTCCTTAGATTGTGGAAACATGGTCAATGGCTTCGCCGGCATATCGTCACTGGAAAACGATTCTCTCTACATACATAAATATGTGTGTATGTATGTATATGTGTGCGTATATACACATACATATGTATGTATGTGTCTGTAGGTGTGTGTACATATATATTTATGCATCTATATACATATACTAGATCGGGACACATACTAAATGTATATAGGATCTCCTTTTTCTTTTTACGAAACTTAGATTTACCTCAGACCCATGCCACCAAACATCTCCCGCTGTTATTTGGTGGGATTTGCAGGGAATTTTCTGGGAGAACTTAGAGGCCCACAGTAACTGCGAATGAAGCAATATACCACTAAGCTGCAGAAAAACAAACACAGTCTCCCACCGTCTCCAGAAGTCGTGGCCTTCCAGAACCGTCTGCCCCTACATGAAGGGTGGGGCAGGCAGTCCCCAAGCAGGCTGCTCCTAGAGGTGGGGAACCCCCCCGTCCAACCCAGAGACCCTGCCTTTCCACCTGAAGGCCAAGGACCAACTGTTCCCCCCAAAGGCACGGGAGGACGTTGGCAGGAAGACCCCTGACCACGGCATCCGCGTGTTTGTACGTAGAAAAGGGGGTAGTGAGAACCTAAGCCCCATCGTAGCACAGTATTATGTGTGGTTGGGAAAAGGGGGGAAATAATAATAAAACCACAGTGGTATGGAACACTTCAAAACCTAGAAACGCCGTAGGAATATTTCTGGTAACTATAGAGGTTTTACTTATACAATTTTCAAAGTATTTAATTTTTTTCCTTTCCTCTTTCTACTAATTATACTGTGTCAGATGTGGAACTAAACAGGCAAGGAGGTTCTGAGTCACATCGTTTTCATTAAAAATCAGGCCATGATGCACTTTGGCTGGTGCCTCTTGCACGAAGTGCATGAACCGTAAGTGCCCAGGGCCGGGGAGGGGCGGTCCTTGGCACTTCCTGTCCCAGAGGATGCTTCGGTTGAGTTTATGCAAGTGAAATAGGTTCCCTCTCGCCCTTCCCTTCCCCTTCACCTGCCTTCTCCAGAGCATTTAATGTAAGTGAAAACACGGTGAAAGAATTGGGGGTGTGATCATCAAGTACATGAGCAGGGCTTTCACCTCTTGGCTGGGAAGGGGCCTCTGGATCACCCTCGTTCCATTCTGTTTTGCTTCCTCTTTGCATCTCCTGCTTTTCCAGAGATGGCTGTTAATGGATAATGGAACGCAGATGAGTTAGATTCCAACGGGACCACTTTCATTCACCACCTTCATGCCAAGCCAAGGGTTTCCTCCCTATTCTTCTCATGCTTCATCTCTTTCTCAAGGCCTCTGAGCATGCCCATGGCTGTGGTTTGAAATGAAAAGTCCTGTGTGTCCCAGCGCCCACCACTTGGGAGCTGTGGGACTCTGGCATGTCCCTGCACCTCACTGAGTCTCAGTTTCCTGCTCCGTAAAATGAAGATAATAAGGATGAAATGTAAACGAGTAAGCTGTTTAGAAAGCACTGTGCCAACACGATTATTCTTTTTATTGTCATTAGTAAGGTAGGTCTTTTAGCCTAAAAACCACCCGAGACCTTTTTGAAACCTCCTAATGGCTTTTGAGAGCAGGCAGTGGAATTTTCCTACCAGCTTCATAAGATCCGCAAGCACAGCCCTACAGATAGATCACCTACAAATGCTCGAAATTCCATCGATATCATTTCACCCCATTAGGTGAATTTTGCCTTGTCCTCTGGTCTTCCGGGAAAAGGTGACCCCCAGAGGGAGGGCCCCATTGAGTCACTAATCCTTGGGTGTGTGGGAGTGGCAAGCCCTTCTGCCTCACCTGAGGATTGACACTGAGAGCACACAGTGGAAGGAAGAAGCAAGCAAGGCTCCAAAAAGAATGGCACGGAGAGGCAATCACAAGCTTGACCTTCCTTGTTTTGCCTAGAACCAACTGTTCTCTTAGCGCCTGGAAATGAAAGCACCTCAGAGCAAGCACCTCTGTGGGCAGTAAGAAAATATCCCCATTGTACAGCTTAGAAAAGAAAGCCATGCTCATCATTTAATGGTGTCTGAGAGCAGGGGTCATGTCAGGCGCAGAAGTCATTTATTTGCAAGGATGCTATCCTGTCCAGCCAGGGTACAAGATATCCCATTCCTACCCCACAGATACTGCCAGACCTTAAATGTAGTTGCCTCCTGAGAAAAATGTAGCATTCTCTGCCGGGACTACCAGACGTAGAGAGAAAATTTGAGTTGACAGACCTGGTGCCTGATCTACATAACACCAGTCCAACCATGTGGCTTTTCCTCAGAATTGACTAACTTCATTTTTCTTTCCTGAGAATGGACCTGCCTTTTACTGAATTATCTGAAGGCAGAGCTGTAGCTGTGTTCTTTAAGCACCTGTTTTTCCATTGGGAAAAGGCTGATGAGTTCACATTTAGAGAAGCTCACACCTCACTCATCCAGCCCCAAATCTGAGCCTTGTCGCAGAACCAAATGGAAAAATACTTTCCTGCGTCCCCCACCCGCACCCCCCACTTCCTCATCCGGCACTCTGCATGTCTCGGTCCCTCCACAGGCACCCAGCCCCACCCACGGTCACTGAGCACTGGCATTCTCTTCCTGACTCCTGCCTGTGTTAGTCCACTATATATTGCTGTCTTTGCTTAAATGCTGGAAAGTAACTGTTAAAATGTGAAATCGTAATTTTAAAAAAGGCGACAATTAAATTATAGCCAATGCCACTCACCAAATCTTTGCACCTAGTAGATAGTTCAATGTAAAAAACAAATATGAGATACCTAACTGTACAGCGAGTGTGGGGGAAATGTAGTAACCTAGTTCGTAGTCCTCAATATAACCAATTGTACAAGGGGAAGTGGTGTTTACCTACTTGTTCATCACCATTACTGAAAGCTGTGCTGATCAGTTTGTCGATAACGGGCATTTTTTTAAAATTATTTTTTGCTTTTCACAGAATGATTTCTTAACCTTCGACTTATCCTGAGGTCAGGCCTTTTGTCTTTATGTGTAACCGATGTTCAGTCTATTTTAGGAATGAACCAGCAAGATGTTCATTTAAAACTGACCAAAGACAATTCCTTCCTGGTCTAGTTTCCTGGGCTCCGGGGCCCAGTCGCCGCTAAAGACCTTTCTCTTCTCGGATAAAATTGAAAACAAGCCGTGCTTCCTGCCCCACTCTCCCTCTCTCCTTTCCTTTCCTCTTGAAGAGCTGCTCTGAGCTGTGGGATTCTATGAAAAATTCTTGCCTTTCCTTGTTTTCAGTGCTAACGATTTCTCACCTTGAAGCGCCTTTGAACCCAGACAGAGCACCCATGGGAGGGATATGTAAGCTTGGGCATTCGACTGGGGAGTCTGTCCTCTGAGGTCACCAGGCCGAGGAGCAGGAGAGAAGTGGATTCCCAAGGGCTAATGGGTTTCTACTCAATGAAGAAATCCGAGTGGGAAGAGACACAGGGAAATGGAGCCAACCTCTGGCCACGGCTGGAACCAGCAGTTCAGAGATCTGCCTTATAAACCCTTCAGAACTGGTCTGCGATGCACAGAGGGAGCCGGCGTGGGGAAGGGCCTTGACGCGGGGCTGGCCCCTCTGTTGGAGGCCCTTGGAGTGCCTTGGTGGGTACGTCTCTTCCTCATTCAGGAAGCATCAATGCAAGGGACTTCCTGTGACCTGGTGGTTACTTGGCACTCAGCGCACATCCTCGGCTGATGGGAAACCACGAGGACTGACGTAACGGTTCTTCCTCTCGGTCTTCCTAGTCCTCACTTTTCACACATCCAGAAGGTCTTACACATGAGCAAATGCCTCATTCTCCCGAGAAACCCGGAAAGAGGAGTGGTTGGCTCACAACCATGGTGGGCGGGCCCTGTTGGGCTTGGCGGTCGGCAGGGAGGAAAAGGCAGGAAGGGGTGAGCCGAGGTGTTGCTTAGCTGATTTTCTGCTATGCAGAGCTAATGCTGACGTTTCATGTCAACTTCCCCCGGTTCTCTGGGGTCTCCTCTCTCGTGTAGAGAATTCCCCACATACCCTAACTGCCAGGGGAGCTGAGCGAAGGGACCTGCTGTCAGGTCGGAGTGCTCCTGGCCTCTCCGAGGTTGATCTGCCAGTGTCCCGCTGTCACGTCCTCTGGGACTGGCCGAATGGCCAGCGCTGCCCCTCGCTGACACCTCCTTTCTGTGTGAACTGTCCCTAACAAAGCTGTTTCTTGGACCAGAACAAGCAGAACGCACTCCGCCTTCCTCAGACCAAGGCTCTGCTGGAGTTCCTGCTGGGCCCTGGCTCCCGGCAGTGTGGCTGTTTACACGGTTTGGCAATAGGCTTGGTTCTGATTGCTTCAGAGTGGCTGGTCTATTTTGTTTCCTTTGGTTTCCCTCCTCCCCAAACTGTGTCAGGAAAAAAAAAAAAATTGAAACCACCCTCGGAAATTGCTGGTTGCTTGTCCCCACATGATGAGAAGTGCTGCCCTCTTCCAGATATTGTTTCTCTACCTTACAGCCAACGCCCGTCCTATAGAGTGTCTGATTGGATCCTCTGTCGCATATTCTGA